ACTACTCCTACTACTACTGCTACTAGTACTCCTTCTACTGCTACTACTACTACTACTACCACCTACTACTTGCTACTTACTACTTACTACTTACTACTTACTACTTACGACTTGCTACTTGCTACTTGCTACTTGCTACTGGTTACTGCTACTGCGACTGCTACTGCAACTGCGACTGCGACTGCTACTGCTGCTACTGCTACAAGTACTGCTATATACTACTGCCATGGCTACTGCTACTGCTACTGCTACGGCTACGGCTACGGCTACGGCTACTGCTACTGCTACTGCTACTGCTGCTGCTACTGCAACAACTATTACCATATTACTATATACTACTTCTACTGCTACTGCTACTGCTGCTGCTGCTACTATTGCTTTTACTGCTGCTATTACTGCTACTTGTACTACTATCACTGCCACTAGCACTACCACTGCTGCGACATCGACTACTGCTACGACAGCGACGGTGCGACAGCAGGGCAGCGCCGGAGCACTGTCGGAGCGAGCCTGGAGCCCCAGAATTGCGAATGGCGACTGCGAGACCATGGCTCGGAATCTCTCGGTCAGATCATGAAAGCACTGGCATTGCTTGTTTGGCTGAAGCTTCAGGATGCACATGCTGGGGCTCAGGGTGAGAGCTTGCGGGATGGACTGTGCCAGAGGTAACTGTCGAGCTTTGTCACCACCACCGTCTGGGCTGATGGCACCTTCTACCCAGCATCTCGGCGATCCCTGAATTATCGGCGAGATACCTCTGCATACCGGGAAAGCCGTTAACGAAGTCTAACCCCCACACCTGATCGTCTAGAGCGGCGAGCCAGCAGCAGACAACCATGCCCATGCTGCTGCCGATGCCATGAAATGGCTCATGGCATGTGGTATTGTCGAGGTCCCAAGCTTTCTGAAGCGTGAGCACACGTCGCTGAAGCTCCTGCTTTGCTTGCGGGGTGCAGGGCACGCAGACCGACAGTGGCACATCGACGGAAATTCTGCGATCCTAACTGAAATGAGTCTTGGTCATGGGGCTAAACTTTTGCTCCTCAAGATGCTGTCGTGGAACATACACTCCGTCGGCAGAAGGTGCCTCGATTGCAGCTGCCGAGTGCAAAAAGTTACCACATCAAGCATGTAGGTCTCTCCATGACACCCATATCAGAGTGTGCGCACGTGTGCCTGTGTGTAATGGCTCAGCGTTTTGTCGCATGTTTGTACACACGATATACAAGCCTTAACAGGGCCAAATGCTCTCTCTTCAACTTCGTAGTTTGGAGGCCCTCAGCCTGTCACATGTTTGTGCGACAGGACCAATCCTTCCTTCCGGCGTCTGCCTCGGCTTCTTAATGCGACGATCGCCCTTGGCCGCGGGTCGTCCCGTCCTCCAACAAAAAGCTTAAAAATTGTTACTCCTCAGCCCATATTTTTTGGGCGGCCCGATGCCACTCTCACGCAGCAACTCCAAGCGAACTCAGGTCTGTGAACAAAATCGATAGCTGTGAGGAGTGTCTTGCACGTTGGCAACCTCACTAGAGCACTCCAAAGTTTACTGCCAGTCTGTGAGCTCGTAGATATGAGTAGGGAAGGTAGGGCTGTGAGATAAAAGCCTGAGATGAAAGCAAAACTTTAGTGCACTGTTCTGTCCAGTGGACTCGCCTCCTACCTGGCCTCAGGCCTGCACCTACCGCACCACCTCTGAAATGAAAAGTACGTGTAAAACAGCAGTTCCGTTGTATACTGTTCGGATGGGATGAAGAATGTGCCCAGAAAGTTGCAGCTGTGCTCTGTGGATGTGGTGTGTGAGGAGAGGCTGCTCTGCGAGAGCGCGTATCTGTCGGTTCGTGTAGGTGCGTGCTGTGGGCTGCAGGATGTTGGTGTAGTAAGTGCTTTTGATGTAAAGTATTTTACGAAGGCTCTGTGAGTGGAATGCTTCGAGTCTGTTGTAGTCACCCGTGGTAAGAGCTGCTGATTCAAGGCCGTATGTGACGATAAGGCGTTGTAGATGCGAAGCTTCCACTTCATGTGAGATCTGTATTGCACCAAAACTGGTGGATAGAGTGAAAGTGTTTTGCGTGCCTTGGCGAGTCTTGTGACACTGTCTTTGTGTGAGGAGCCATCGCTGCTGAGCGTAACGGAGAGGTACTTGGTGCGCTGTTCTATTGTGCGGGGGGTGCCGTTGTGGACGCGGACGATGTTCTGTGAGGTTAGTGACATCAGAAGGACGCACTTCTTGAAGTTGAGGTGAAGGTTGCTGATGAGCTGCCACTTCTTGTGGGGTGTGTAGTAGCTGCTCTGAACTTTGTGCTGTTCCTCCTATCAGCGCTGTGTCGTCGGCGTACGTTCCGCCAGGTCGTAGAAAGGCTGATTTTGGCCGAAGAGCCCGGGAAGGAACCCACCAGTTGGCTCCACGCAGTGCATGTCCCGTGTACAATGAGGAACAGGTATGGTGAAAGTGGGCAGCCTTGTCGGATGCCTGCTTGTGCTTCTTCTGTGGTGCTCTTGTGGCCTGCTGCTGCGACGGTGAACTGTGGGGAAGTGTAGAGTGTAGATGTCTTTGATGAGGGCCGTGAGGTGTGCTGGCACCTTCGGCCCATGTAACAAAGGTTTCACGGAAATCGCGCCACCGAAACTAGGGATGCCCAGGGCTTCCCTCCCGTTCGGGGCTCGGTTGGCCCACCTCCATTAAGGGCTGTGGAAAGACTCTCTCTTCTTCGTCTTCTGCTGCAAGCGCTTCTCTTTCTCCAGGGCTGTAATGAAGGGGTTTAGGCCCCAAGCGCTTCTCGCTCTCTCTCTCTGTCTCTGGCTCGCTGTGTCAACCTCGGCGAGCAGGCTGGCACTCCGGGCCTGTGCCTCGGGAACTGGAGCTGGCCTGATCAGTTGCCACTTCGACCCTGGGATTGAGTGTGAACAAAATCTTGTCAGTTCTCCCAAGAGCCGCACTTCTGCGGCTTCTTGGCCACAGCTCGGCCACCCGTAGGCCTGGTCAAAAGGAGAAACATTGCGTGGGAACGAGGGGCTCATGCATCACACGCAACACTTTTGCAAGCTCTTTGGCGTGGCTGACCGTTGAGGAGTCGCTCTCGGGAGTGACTGCTGATGGCTCGCACTACTTCCACATGCAGCAGCAAGGAGCTCGGGAAAGGCCGCTCTGCTCCTTCGTTCTGTGGCCGCTGTAGTGCGGGAGGTGCCGCATTTATGCTACGCATCCCTGTCGCCATTCATCTGGAGTTTTCCCTTTGATGCCTGGAAGTGAGCTACGCATGGTGCGAGATACAGTGCTGTGTTTGATGTTTCGTTCAGGACATGCTCCGGTGCCGCGCTTTTCCTGATCCCTTGGCCCCCTTGGCTGCCATCTCGTTCAAGTACCCCATGCTGTTCGCCTTCAAACATCGATACGTAAAGTGAGGGCCACCACAAATGTTGCAGTAGGTCGAGCCAAGTCTTGCCAAGACGGTGTCCAGCAGCCCAGTGGCCATCTCAACAGCCTGATGGGCCCTCTCCTTGTCATCGTGCTCGATGAGGAGGTGGAGGCCTTCCCTCTTGGCAAGCGGGTCCAGGCACGAAGTGTGACCGGCACCATGCCCTCGCAGCCAAAGCCAGGCACCTGTTCTTTCATGAATCTGACGAAAGTTCTGACCACCCTTGCCGAGGAGGTGGGCATTCAGGCTATCATAGCCTTGCCTGTCGGCTTCCATGTCTAGCCAAATCTTGTGCTGGCACTCAAATACCTTTCCCGGAGGTGGATCCTTGTCATAGGGCGACCAATGCGTCACCCTTCGGATCAACTCCTCTGCCATAGCGACAGCCTGGTCTAGCAGATGCTGGGTCGCAGCCTCGATGCGCATATGCAGGGGCTCTATTGCCTTGTACTCTCCGGAACCCACACCCAGCATTCTGATGTTGGCTCCTGTGGCATCTATGATCGGCTGAACATTTCGACCCTGGGCCCCTATGATGAAGCCAACGTTCGTGCATGGCTCAAGATAGAAGTCATGGACACAGGGCAGTCGCATCTTTTGGCAGTCCCTGCTTTTGTGATCACCTCCGCAATGTGTACAAATTGGAAACTCAGTGTTCAAAACTTCCGCGACTGTCGCGCAAGCCTTCAGCAGGCCTCTCTCCAGATCCGCACTGGTTCTGCCAGTGACGAGGAGGTGGTTGTCCTCGTCAGTTGGCCTGTTCGACTCACGTCCACAGAGGAATACCTTTGTTCCTGTTGTGAGCCCCATGTCCCTGAGGACACTGCCCTTCTTCCCAATTACACGAGAAATATGATAGTTAGTAAATCCAGGCATTGTCAACATCAGTTTCGCCTGTACCTTGGATACGTATATCAGCTGATAGCCTTCAGGGGAACAGAATTCAGATGTCTCCTGGCCACGTGCTTCCGAGACCCGTGGCTCATTATCCTGACCATGCCAATCACTTTTGTCGTCTCTCCTCCAGCTTTGCTCCCGCTCCAGCTGCTCCTCCTTTTGCCAGTTGGACCAATGGGTTGTAGTTGTTTCTTCCTCACGCACGGACCAGCTTCTCCTGCGCTTCTTCTCCGGCCGCTGCTCTTCGTAGTTTTGGCTCTCCTGCTTCCAGTGCTCCGACCACTTCCAAGTACCACGACTGTCATCCTCACTGGTCTGCTCTGTTTTCCAGCTGGACCAGCTGTACTCGTTTCCGTCCATATCCTCCTCATCCCCGTCTTCTCCGTCTTCCCCGTCCTCCCCCTCCTCCCCCGAGTGCAAGGTCTCCTCTCCTGCCTCGGTCCACTCTGTCAAGCCCACAAAGCAGTTTGCAGATCCGGATTCATCCTCAACGCTGTGCGCCGGCTTGCCTGACCAATCCCCATTCCAACGATCTGCAGCGCTTGATTCAGGCACATTCCTTCTCAGGCGACGGAAGCTGGGAGGCTTTACAGGCTCCGCCGGCGGAAACATGGCCAAGGGCTGCCTGCAAATATACTTCTGTAAGCTATCAAAGGGCCATGCTCCGCTATGACCTTGAACCGTTCAAGAGTGCGGGAAACTCCAAAGCTAAACAGCTGCACTCAAGAATTGGCATGTTAGCTTGACATCGGACTGTAGCACTTGCAGGCACTTGGACCTGGGCCCCGCGCTCAAGCCCAAGGCATGACAGGAAGTCGCCATTCTCCTGTGCAGCCGCCTTGTACGCATCCAAGCTGATGACTTCCTGATGGGCGAGTTTGTGCCCCAAGATCTCCAGAGACTTCGGGAATTTGCAGGCAGCCTCCTCGGTTCCATCTCGTGTCGATGCAAGCTCATGAAACAAGCGCTTCACATCCTGCAGGTCGAAACCGAGCAGCGGCTGAGCTGATAAAGCAAAGGAAGGCTGCTCGGGGCCTCATCGGACGTCAGCCGCCTTGTCTCGCGCATAAGCAGACACATGGGATTCAAGATCTCATGCTGACACATCCTGCCTCGCCTGACACATGTCCCCAAACAAAGCACAGCTTGATCTCTACGTACCCTTCTTTGTTGTCCGGTTCTCGGTCCACAGTTGATTCTGATGCGTACCATCCTCGCCGATCTTGGCGAATAGCGAAAGGTTGGCTGGATGATGCTGGATGACTCCCACACGAAACAAGCGTGTGGAATCCTTCACAAAGTTTGCGCAGCAAGGGCTTAGGCGTCTTTGCTCGGAATCGTCGGCTTGGGCTGATACATGGCGCTTGATGTGGAGCAACACAGGCAGCACCTGCACTTCTTTGCCTGAGGCCTGAACCCAGTCGGCGCCACGAGTGATGACCTCAGCCGGTTGCTCGTCTACTGGAATGGTCGTACTCGTCCTCAGCAGAACGAAGTAATTCGCCTCTGTTCCGGCCGAGGCGGCAGAGGTTCTCGCAAAACCCACTTTCTAGTGAGCCACCCCTCCTGCCTGCAGGCTCTGGGACGAGCTCAGGCATGATTGTGAAATTCTATGTCCTCCATATGCCACCACTCCCCCACCCCCACTTCCGCCCACGCCATCCTTTCCTTTCTAGGCCGGATGAGGGTGGGTGTGGTTCAGGTTTCAGCTCGCGGCGTCAACCGTGACCGCG